AGAAGTCTGGCTTGTTTGATTCTGTTCCGATGCAGAATATAGCCTCCAGTGGCCTAAATTCCTTATCGAAGCTCCTACCGTAATCCTACAGTAATGAAGAGGGATCGACGATTCGCTCTATACTGTAAATCTAAGTTAAACCTCGCTCTATAGAATGGTGCCTCAAGCTCGGCGAAAGACATGAAAGCAAGGGAGTTATTAACAATCAAACAGTGTTCACATTTTTTGGGACACCCTCTCAGACACTGGAAGCGGGCGAGCCGCGGCCTTAAAAGGCCTTTTCGGCCCGCCCGCGGCCTTATTTTGGGGGCGTGGCCAGATCGCGGCTGACCCGCGGCCCTAATTTGAAGGCGTGGTCTGAGCACGGCCGACCCGCGGCCCTTGTTCATTGCCGGCCGACCCGCGGCTCTTGCTTTTAGGAGCTGGTGCCGGGTTTTGAAGGCGATTTGGAAACGCCTAGGTGCTTGCAAATTTTACAAAAGTTAAGAGAGATTTAGTGTACTGTCTTCTAATTTAGCTTCTACGAAAGCTGGGGAAACAATGAAGAGGAAAGAAGGAAAGAGCTTTCGCAGATGAGACAAGAGCGAGCTCAATGGCGGCCACACCTTTATCAGGCCTTACAGAAAGCTCTGTACGTGGTGAAACGAAGTTATTTTGATTATCAGTAACTTTGACTTCCAAAAGGGATGTCCGAGCATCGAAATACAAGGAGAATGACAATACGTGGAGCCCGAGCAATGTGAGTTGGTACATAAACTTGGCTACTTCAACGATTTCCAAATGTTTCAGAAGCAGAAAAGGAAGACTGTGGCTGTGCCCGAGGAGTACATCGAAAGAACAAAATGTGAGTTAGTATATATTATATTGGCTACTTCAGCGTTATCCAAATGTTTCAGAGGCAGAAAAAGAAAAGTTTTGGTCGAGGCCGCCGAAGACAACATCGAGATGATAGATGACGAAACATGCGCCTTTGAGAACAATGGGAGTAGAACAGGGCAATAAGGATATCATCATTTTTTGTAGATTGTTTGAGTCTCTGTTCATATTGTGACTATTTTTTATGTATATTCTGGACACAGAAGATAAATGAGTTGTCATAAATATGTGATTGTTCTGTTGTCTTCATGTGTTAAAAGAAACAGCTAAAATTTCCATTTTTGGAAGTGTTAGAACGATTTAATAAGAGCCAATACAGCCGAGCCGCGGCCCTTTCCCGGCCGAGCCGCGGCCCACTGCGGGCGAGCCGCGGCTCATTTACGGCCGAGCCGACTGTCCATTCACGGCCGGTCCGCGGGAGCTGCGATTGCCCGGCCGGAACTGGGCCGCGGCTCGCCCACTCCTAGTGTCTGAGCTGTAGAAGTGCCTGTTTGAGCACGATAATCGACCACATTTTACGATTCCAGATTCTCGCCTACGGTAAGTTGGTCGTTGTGCTATGTTTGAACACTCTGAGTAGCCTATCGTGAGCAAAAATCTAGAAGAATCCCTAAAATTTTATCGATTATTGGGCTCAAATGGGGGCTGTATCTTCTCTGTGTCATAACATGCACCTCGTCGAGCTGAGTTGAATAGTGCTTTTGAATTCAGAATTCGTCCACTTTGAAGCAAGATATGACGATACAGAAGTTCGGCGAGTTTTGGCGGAGTGCGGTGAGTTTTTTTACAAATTACGGAAAGTACCGTCGTGCAATAGTCCATGGTGTGGCTGACGGCGACCAAAACTTTATACGCTATTGAAGGCATGAAAGCGTGACAAAGATATTTATTGTACCGAACGGCCTAGAAGTCTTGCGTCCGAGGCCTTAACGAAGTCTCGCACACTTGAAAAGGCGCCTACCTTTACCACCGATGACCACCAACTTTTTTGATTTCCAAAAGGTCCACCATACAATTTAGCTGTACTTTGGAGATACCCTACTATATCTGTATAAAATCTGGTCTTATTGCGTGGTCTGGGGTTTTTTTCTATAATTTTATGTAGTCAAATATAGAAATCAAGAAGGTGGTATTATCTGGGCAGCATCTAAATTTTTTTGATGTTATTATAGCTTGTTCACTGTTTTCGCTGTATCACGGCGCCATCCCCCTACTTTCTATCGTGAAAACTTCGAACTGTTTTGCTGTTTGTGTTTTCAGTGAGTTACACAGTTTTGAGTTTGAAAATCCGATTTTTTTGTTTTTAGGATCACATATAAATTTGCTAAAATCGCATCCAAATTTCTTCAAGCTCACTGTCACTGAATGGCCGCAATTTGATACTTTAGTTATCTGGTCACTTTACTGCACAACGTGTTCACACTGCAACTTCTCAGGCTTTCCATGACTGTAGTTACGAATTTTTGGAAAATTGTGCTTATGCACGTTTGTGACATCGTTCGGAAAGGCGCTAAAATGGTTTCGTTCGCGGAGGAAATTTTTGCTGAAGCAGAAAATAAGTTCATTCAACAATTCTTTGCGCTTCCAAAAAAGCATTTTTCCCTGCGAAAATTGTGTCTCAGCCGAGAATCGAACCCATGAATGTCGTAATAGTTTAGAGCGTTCTTACTGTATTCACTGGTGCATGTGTGGGCTATGCCAAACAGCATGAAAGAAGAATTTTTTGTCTGTCATTAGAAAATAAATCATTATGAAATAACCTAATATCGCTATTGGAATGAACAGTTCTACCTTCCTGGAACTTATTTAGTTTTTTTTTTCAATTCATTGCAAGTTTGAAATTCAGCGTCTAAACACGTTACAATTCAGATATCGTTATCATCTAAAATGATGTCCTCTTTCGTCAGGGCCATCCACCACAATACAGTACAATTCGTCGAATTCTCTTAGAGCCAGTCTACGCAGTTTGATTTTAGATGGTCTTCAGGCAATCAAATATTACTTACATTATTTCTTAATCTGCGAGTAAATTCACCTTTCTTGACGTATGATGCGAAAAGGTCCAATAATATCCTTTAATCTAACATTCGTTAACGCAGGCTAGCGCAAGAACTGAGCTGGGGGGGGGGGGATACCCGAAGAAGCAGATGAAACGCTTGACCGGCTTGGAGCTTCTCTGCCACTAGAACAAGAGAACTACAAGAATGAAGCTAAACAAGCAATCCACGGTGAAGACCATTGAAATCGATCAAAAATTGCTAAATTCCGCCTTTCAATACCGCAAGTGGGCCGCTGCGCGGAAGCAGCACAATTTAGGCACAGTTGGAACGCGTTGTGCTGAAAAGTTGCTGAAGCTTCCGGACCGTTATGGATACAGCCTTGGGCGCAGCACAATTTCAGGTGAGAAGTTTCAGGTCCTTTGAAGGCGATTTTTTGGCATGTTCGGGCTTGCATTTGAAAGAAAAAACAACACTTCTTGTGCATGTGAAAAGCAATAAAATAGACCTTAGATCATAAAAATACTAAGCGAAAAAAAGTTGACAATTTTATGAAATGCGAAGGAGTTGATAGAATTCTGTAAGCTACGCAACGGTAAGTTGCAGTGCTTATAATGGCCATAATCGGTCTTCTAGAAACATAAAATTCGATTAGTTTTCCACTGAGCTATCTCGGGTCTATGTTGCTCAACACCAGCACTATTGTTAGACATTATTTGCCTAACCTGCTGCCGAAACTAAACGCTTGGCTGTTTGAACAGTAGACAGTTTCAATGCCACAACAACAAGTCGAATAGGTTTTTCCTTTTTCCGGAAAAATGCTCAACAGCATGTACTTTTGCCCATTTTTGAAAGGTATGTTAACGTTTATCTCACAGTCAGTTCAAAAAACTATGCAGAACAATATTTGTACTTGTGACAAGCTCTTTGAGACGACTTTCGTGAAACCAAAAACACTGAAATCATCTTTGTTGCCGAAACCTTGGTAAAAGACTCATTGTTCATTGAAATGTGGTTGAAATTCGTGGCTCAGTGCGCACCTAGCTGCTTGAGTCTGTGAGATTGACATACGAAAGAATAATACTCTTTTGAATTGTCGTCTACTGTCTTTTTTCGCTTACGAAAATGTGCAAATCTCAACAAAATTACGTGAGAGAATTAAAGTGGCCATAAATAGGACTTCCGGACAAAAGATGAATTAGTGACATAATGAAGACATGAAGAGTCAGTCATGCTATATTTTGTTAATGTAAGACCTTGAAGAAGGACATTTGATTGCTTTCGATATCGCGTAAACTCATATCATCAACTCATACCATACGCATATAAGGTGTTTCAAAAAATGTTTCCACTGGATCGTTAATAACTCTCTTGCTCTATTGTCTTTCGAGATATCAATGTACCATTCCGTAGAACTGACTTCATCTTGATAGCATGGAACGTATATATTTATCTTCAGTAGTGTAGGATTGCAGTGGGGAGGGGAATTTTGAGAATTTGGGTTAGCTGTATGTTTTTCGAAAAAAATTCAAATAAGCTGAATACTCTTCCACCTGATAATTAAATTTCCTGAATCTAAATATAAAATCCGCACTTATCCGGGGTTCTTTCAACATCATGTTAGATATACCGTAACAATCAATTTGCTAAATTCAAAATTTGATTACGCCATGTAGAACGCTCTAATGACTTGTAGTTGTGCGGTGAAATCAGCATCATAAAGATCTTGAAGACGCACACTTTCTCAGATATTTTTGGAACATTTTTTGAACGTCCTACATCAAACTGCCATATGTTTCAAGTTTCGACCAAATCATACAATAACGAATCATGATAGGCGCTTCGCTTTATTCTGTAAAGTCCAAGCCAGCTTTGATGGTATCACTCGAGTGGAGGAAGACAATTGAGTAAATCATCAACGGTCAAACAGCAGACATCTTCTGGGACGCCTTGTATGTAGATGAGATCAATGAGTAATGGCAGATGCTATTTTTGATAGATTCGTTTGAGCAACATTGAACTGTATGTATAGTTGTTTGCTTTTGGGAACACGGTTTGATGCGTGTAGGGCGTCAGAAGAAAAACAGTTTTTTGGGTCGTGCTTCCTGTTCTTTTCGCTAATTTGCAATGTTCCATGTATTACTCTGTAGCACCTTCTTGAGAGGCATCTTAAGCCAAGACCCAATCGGAGATCTCAATTGTACATATGTAAGCGAAGGACAGCCAAAGGTGTGTGATTTTTTTTTCAAGTAAAAATTAGCTAATGTTAGAGCGATACAGTCAAGTCAAAACTTCATAGTTTTGTAACAAATTTGCTGTAGCCGTCAACCCTGTAATGTCATTAAACAACACTTGAGGCGTAAACCCGCAAAATTTTGCTATTTCTCAACGTCGTTCCGGGTAAGTGCTTTCTGTGATGTTTTAACACGCATGCAATGAGGACTTTGCAGATATACACCATATCATTTATATAATAAAACCCAATGTTTTTTAGCAGTTTACTATTTGGGACTCCTCTTTACCCACTGTTTTTTGCCCTATTTTACTACTCTATTTTCCGGCGTATAAGCCGCAATTATTTTCGTCGCGCGCGGGCTGATGCGAGATGATGGTCGCGATGTGCGAAGCCGCGCAAGCAGTCAACTACCACCTATTTTACCTAGTAGCCTGATTGAAACTTTCTGCTTTCGCTCCTTCTTGTGGAAACATTAAAAGCACCATTGAAACATCAACATCACCATCAACAACCATTAAAATCGAATGAAATAGCAGCAGCTTTAACCTCAGTAACATCTTCAAAAACAAAAGAAAACACGGTCAACTCCATGGTATCCTTGAGGAAAAAACACAACCCAAACACCCCAAAATTGTCCGAATCTCTGAAAAGGATAAAGAAATATCTGAAAACGTGAACATGCGCAATGAAAAGAAGTCACAAAATACAGCGAGTTTTCAATTTGTTAGATCAAAACTTTTTTTTTCGAAGGGTCTTTCGCTCCATTGTTAGCTGCGGCGGTTGCGGCTTATATAAGGTGACAATAAATTGATTGAAGTTAGTAAACTAATCGTTAGTCATGAGTTAGTCGTTTACGCACCACCACAATAAAGTTCCGGATAGAGCCAATAAGTTTCCTCACAATAACTATTCTTGAAAATTAGGATGATGGTTTGGGCTTGCGTCTCTGAAACCATAAATTGCCTTGCAACGCTTTGAACACTCAATTTCAAAAAAATAGCTCAACTACAAAGGATTATGCTTTCTATCTTTTTCGTAGTTGTTCACGTGATCTCATTGTTCGATCACAACGAGGTTTTCATAAAGCAAGAGCTTTTATTTTAGCCGGACCTATATCTTTGAAGAAAATCTGAACATATCAAGTGACAAACTCCATTCAAACGAAATGTTGGTCAAATGCCACTTGTCATACCCGCGCCAGAAAAAAAACATTACTAAGTTGGATAAATGCAAACTAACAAGTGATTCAGGGTCTAAGCAGTTATTCAGTTCTTGTTGTTAGATAATGCGGCCCGTACGAAAAAATGGGGCCGTAATTTAACCTTACTTCAGAAACTTTGACAGCGGTTAATGCCTTCCGGTCTTAATAACTACGGCATCTATGATTTCAGGGAATTTACAACTCGTTCAGTCATCACTCATTCTAGCTACCCCAACTGCTACTTGACATCCCAAAAAGCTCTTTGACAGCAAAAACGGCAGTAAATTAGATAATCTGCTTTCTCTACCCAAAACATTCACCAAGAAGCGTTTTTCATAAAGAAGCACAATGGCATAAGTTGAGTTGTTGCTAACCTTAAGATCTGACATGCTTGCTTTATTTCGTTCACCCAGTCTGCTCAAAATCACAAAACAGCACACAGATATACTGAACCATCGTATTGCGTATTGAGTAGGTATTAGAAGGCATCTTACACTTGTAAGTTCCAAGTCTCATTTTTTCAGTTTTCACATAAAGCTACAAACTGTGCAAATCGATTCGATGAGAACTACTGTATCAGTCTTTTCGGAGATCCTGTAGAAGTGGATTCAGCGGAAGACAGAAGCGAGCTGTGCTATAAGGTAAGCGCTTGACTGCTTTTTTACGTACAGGGCTCCGCAATTACAGAGTCGCTTACATCAGCAGCTCCCGCCCCGCACGGCCGCATCGCCTGAACCCTCTGCCGCGTCTGCCTTGCGTGACCCGGGCATTTTGCCCAGGCTTCGATCGTTGACGCCGAGCTGGCATTGTATTTTCTCGGCTGTTTCGTCTCTTTTCTTCGTTCTTTCGCTCAATTTGCCCTCAACTAGCCTCACGATAATTTTGCAATGTCATCTCATGCCAACAATCTGTGTTACAGTTCTTTTGCGCACCTAGCTGATGTTTTAGGATTTTGGCTTGGCAGAGGTGGGATTTTCTTGTTCACTTTATCTCGCTTCTTCGTTTTTTTCGCGCTGTGGTCCCTCATAGCAGATAAACACATAGCTCCTACATTTGCATGGTGAGAACAGGAGCTAGGAACCCTACAAATACCATAGGTCTATAAAAAAAACTGTTGCGCTGAATCTCGGCATATTTCTTCATTCATAGAACTACAACGAAACTTTCTGAGAAACCACAGCGCGAAAAAGCGAAGAAGCGAGACAAAGTGAACGAGAAAATCCCCTAAAACATCAGCTAGGTGCACAAAAGAACTGTGACGCAGACTGTCGGCATGAGATGACATCGCAAAATTATCATGAGGCTAGTTGAGGGCAAATTGAGCGAAAGAACGAAGAAAGGAGACGAAACGAGAAAATACAATGCCAGCGCCGACGCCATCGATCGAGGCCTGGCAAAATGCCCGGGTCACGCATTGCATCATAGCATGCACCTCCATCAGAGTTTGAGTTTAGAATTTATGTAAATATTCAATCAAGTGATAAGATTTTTGCGCCATGAATCGCACAAAGCTTTTTTGTGATTACCATTTTCACGCCAGAAATTTCGGGGCTAAAAGTGCCATTGAAAACGGAATTTTACCTATTTTAGGTTTCTCGTGCTAAACTTGATATTCTTTTGCCTACTTATGCAATTACATAGATTAGCTTAGTTCCGAATCTCATCAGTAAGCAAATATCATAATCTATAATAAAGCGCTAAGCGCCTATCTGTTTATTTTATCTGTTGTCTGTGTGTATGTCTGCCTGCCACGAAATTCATATGACTAGATGCAGCCTACGTATTGAGCTAAAGTTTTGTCGTAGCACTCTATCAGCGTGTAGGTAAACTGTGCAAAAGCACCAGTCGATCCAGTAAGAGAACCATTAAAAACTGTGCGTCAAACAAATTCACGCGACTTTTGGCTCGCCAAAATAACGTCGGTAGTTGATTGGATTTGTTCACCAAGTAACTCCAAAAACATTGATTCAATTGGTTCCGCAAAGTCGTGAATTTGTTCAACAAGCAAATCCAAAAAAGTCACAAAATTGAAAAGATTTTTTAGTAGATATGTAGCCTAAGGAATTTGTTATCTTTATGGCAACCATAAAACCAAAATAAATTCAGTAATCCATTCAAAATCGCTTTGTTCTCCTGCGGAAAAATTTTCTTTCTCAAAAATTAACGATCTTACATGGAAAAGCTTTGAAAATAAACGGATGTTCAATCTTCGTGATGACCGGCATCGCGAGGTGAGTTTTAAAATTATTACTGTCCAATCAAGAAGAAGGCATACGGATAGTAGAGCCAGTGCGAACCTTGCGAGGCAGAGGTGACACACTGACCTAACAATAAGCTGAAGAATACCTGTCATTATTACAGCCTATTATTGTTTCAAACCCCATTTTCTCAGTTCTCGAGCTAGATAGGATTGCAACATCTATGTGAGTCTGTTATATGCGCCTGTTATATGGACCAGGAGGGGATTCGCAGGTGTGTTGAGGTGGAAAAACTGCTGTTGTGACTACAATCTATATAGATTGGAGCTTCAAGTTACACGTGTTTCACAATTGATGGTTGCCTAGTGATCATGATGTAATGCCTCTTTGCCCTATTTCTCTTCAGACTGCTTTGAGATAGTTTGCCATGATTTTTGCGTAAATTTCATATGCCAGAGCTTTCTGGTTGAAGCCAGTTATGTGCTAGTAAATATTTGAAATTGGCGTTTCCTAAAACTTATATCTTCTTTCTAAATTCTTTGAATACTTGCATGGCCCGTCCACAGTGTGGCAGAACCGTAAGAGATCTCCTGCATTCTCTTTTCTTGTTCAGATATCCTTGATATGGTCTGGTAAAGACGTCGGGGATAGAAATCGCTTGCTGTATACAGTAAGCTTCGACCCGCTCTAAGCGGAAATTGGATTGGCTGGGTTGCAGTGGTTCGCACCGTTTTCGCAGTTACAGTGTATTATGTCGTCTTTGCTAAGAACCTATGTCTGCATCTTTCCTTAGTGTTTGCTTGGCAAGATGTCAACGCTATCGCTCGCGAAGCTTCCAGCGATGCGCAAGCGGTGTCCACATAGAATGTTTCGCCTAATCCGCGATGAAAACAACTGTAAATTTCTCGTGATCGCTTCCAATTGTCGCCGGGATTTACCAGTCTTTTGTAGTAACGTAGCAGAGCTTGTATCAGTAGTTCGTGTTTGTAAAGGTCTCTGCGACATCTCTTCAGGCTTTTCTTATTCTGTGCTCCTCCTAGTGATTTCATCCGTCGATATCTTTCCAAAATCCTTTAACTCTTCTGTGCTGAACAGCACTTGCTCCAAATGCGGTATACTTGACCCGCATGCATGTAATCCCTTTTTAAAGAAGCTTCTTAATGTTGCTTGTACAACCTGAGCCCCATTCTGCGGTAAAAACTGCCCGCTCAATGCAGCTACATAGTTCTTCAATCAACTCTCTCATCACATTCCTTTCCTCTCGGCCATATCTGGGAAGGGGAATGCGTTTAACGTGCACGGCCTCTCCCGTAGACTTCCGGCGCTATCAATACTCATTTTCTTTCCGATTGATACAGATCACAACGTAAGCTGTAGTTCGAACCATGTGCAGAACGATGAGACTTCTCCGACTTTTTTAAGCTGCATCTCTTGTTGCTAATATAGTCGATTGCTGCATGTATCGTTCTCCAACGACGATATTCTTTCTTGTAGTAAAGAATTCATAAATAGACGAGCCTCTCCGATAAGTCTGAAGAACCTACCTCCATTCTCTTTTAGACTTTAAAGTTCGAACCTTTCAATTCTTTAAACTTCTCGGCTTTGTCTTTGTCCTAGTAGAGCAGTTTTACCTCGTGGATGGCGTCTTTACCGAGCTTTAGTTCATCTGCTGTTCTTTTGTATAAATAACACTCGATGATGTTCGATATCGCTCTGACGTGAAACGATAAGTCGTAGAACTGATGAAGACGATTTCTATGGGAAGTCAGCGGCTGACGAATGGTGTACGACAAAATCACACCAATGATGTTAGCCTTTGAAACTTTCTCTCCTGATATAAGGAGGCTTTCGATCTTTATTTTGAATGTGGTCGAGCTTCTGCTCTTTGTTTCCTATAATGCAGTTATATAGTATTGCTGTGGCTTTGGAACTTCGCCTTTGCGGACTGGACTGAGGACATTGCTTTGTATGCACACAGTCGAAAACAACCTTCATATATATTCTGTCATGTCAAATCCTTTTGTGTTGAAAAAAATCTATGGAAGCCTCGCTTCTGCACTTAACATTTCGCCTCTTATTGGTGGTACTGCGGTTCGATTTCGCGAACGGACAGTAAGTTAGAGAGCTATAGGGTTTTTTGGCTACCCTAGCTAGCCTGCTTGGCGCGTTCTTGCCTGCAATGGCTGTCGCCACCACCTAAAGACACTGGCAATTCCTACTCCTGGCGACTTGGATAGATACAACGCCGCTCATAAATCGTTAAAAAAGTCGCCGCATTCCGGCGGAACGCGCCAGAGCCGCCGCACATCACTGAGGTGCGCCGGAATCCGCGTCGCGTTGCCATCTCACTTCAGGATAGACAAATTTCGAATCCAAAAACCTAAGGCTCCCGCCAGAGTGCCGAAGCCATGCCAGCGCTACGCCAGCGCCGAGCCTTTCGATCAATTCACGTGTATCTCGTTGGGGCGGGAATAGCTGACCTAGTTCTCAGCAGGTAGGTGTCGCCAACGAAATACACGTGTATCGATCGAAACGCTGGCTCGGCGCTGGCGTAGCGCTGGCATGGCTTCGGCACTCTGGCGGGAGCCTAAAACTAGTTCGCTGAGGCACATCTTCCGTTATATAGAAGTACCACAGTCTCTCAGGGTACGATAGGTATACGGCTGGCAATAATTTCATCAATTTTTCCAAGTTATTCCTTAGTTGGGTTCTTCATTGTGCTGAAGACAACATTTGCGTTTATTTGTTGTTAGTGGCCATATTGTAGTCTATGTAAGAGCACGGTGAAAAGTTTCTTTGCTCGGATTTGTTCTAAAATCTACTCAAGGCGTTTATCTGACGCGCTGATGGCAATTTTTACATTCATTTGCCGCTTAAGCCGTCTCATCACACAGTGCGCATAGTGCGCAGGGATATTCACGATGTAAGGTCAATTTATTCGTGTTCGAGAGGTTTCTTATGGTTGCTTCCACGTTTCGTTCTCACCGGGGAAGGATGTCAAGTCGCACCTACGATCTGGAATGAAATGGTATCATTAAATGCGTTTTGATAGGTTGATTACTAACCTCACCTACCTTCTATATTTGCTGAACATCTCTCTGAAAGAAGTCATGGACTTTGAATATCCAAGATTCGCAAGCAATTAATACCAAACAATCAAGAGTTGGCGGTTCAAAAACATTTATTTATGTGTCCATCAAAGGTTTTCTTCCTCATAGTCACTACGCTCAATATCACGCCGTTTATGACTTTTTGAGCTGATCTTCAAAGCACAATGCAGATGAACTCAATAACTTCACACTTTCAAACAACAGTCTTCTCAAAGACTCTTCAGTAGCTAAAGCAGATTTGTGGTCACCTTAACAAGACACATCTGTTAATATGCATTTTACTCCAGCACTTCCCAATTATAACAGCAGCTTACTTTCATTACAACCTTATGCTGAGAGTGCAGTTGATGTTGTTACTTAGCATTTGCGTGATCTAGCTGTAATCAGTAAACATTATGTTTGTTAGCACATGGTTTTACCATTGCACATTGCACATAAAAAGCTTTAGTAAGCATTTTTCAATAGAGATGTGCCCACATAACATCCCCTACAAAAAATTATTTAAAAGCTCTTCTTTGAAGCCGAGAGTGGTGAATTTGGAAATATGCAATGTTTAAGAACCATCTATTCAATGTAAGTCTAATAGCATCCTACAAAACGATTTTTGCACGAAGTGTGTCAGGTTCCTCTCATTGGAATTGAACTTGTTATTTGTAACCAACGCGTCATACACTCGTGACACATTCCGCCAAAAAAGCGATTTTAATATTTGGGACAGAATTCATGAGAATTTGAATTTGTGAGCTCACAACTCGGAAAATCATGCAGATGAACAAATGGGTAAAGCATAGTCTGCCTGCACTACTCATAGGGTTGTTTCAGACTGCCGCACTGACTGCAGCAAACTGCAGCAGACTACATTGACCGCGGGGCCGCACAGATCGCTACATGCTTTCGTGAAGGTGGAGAGGATAAATAGTTGTAGCTCGAACAGTCTCTTAACAATGTATGCCCCAATAGACAACACGAGCAGGAGTAAAATAGGGATATGCAGTGACAAAAGGAATCTGAACAAATATGAGCATATTAAAGAAAAACAATCGCCAAAATTTGACTAGAAGAGTAAGTTAGAACCTGTGAACTTTCTAGGCGTAAATCACGGTGTTTTGATGTATTCGCAACTATTTTCTCTTTTACGAAAGAATGCAGCGAGCTGTGCGGCCGTTGTGGTCAGTGCGGTCAGCTGCAGTCAGCTGCAGTTTACTGCAGTCAGTGCGGCAGTATGAAACAACCCATAGGGGTTATCTACAAATATGCGCAGGCAAGTTTGTCAGCAGACGGGTGAGAAAAGCAGGCATTCTTGCGAGATTGCGTGACTTGACTGGATCTCGCTTATTGTGACTTTGTTATACAGCCCTCTCGTGCAGAATAACTAAGATTTTCGTGGGCAGTGGTTTTGAACCTTTGTGAGCGAAGTTTTCGGTGGAACTAAGATTATTGATATCTCTTTGACCTGCTGTTTAGAAAATCACATTTGATTTACAAGATAGCCTCTTACTGTAGGGCTCCAGTAGACAGTTTTTATACAAATATGGATCTGTCCAAAGTTTGCTAGCCATTTATGCACCCACAGCAAAAGACTTTCTGCGCCTTTTGTTGCAGCTAGAAACTCCAGAAGTTGCTCTATCGAAGGATGCGTACGTGATCCGACTATCCACAGGAAGCATCGAGGCGCCCTTACAAAAACCCGTCCGCAAAACCTAAGTGGGACACCAACGCAAAACTCAGATCAGATGGCATAGATCACAGTACTGATACAAAATTCGTTTTGTAGAATGCTATTAAACTTACGGTGAATAGATGGTTTTTAGGCTTTGCATATTTCCGAAATTCACAAATCACTCTGCTTCAAAGATGAGCCTCCAAATGATTTTTTGTAGGAGAGTTATGTGGGCACATCTCTATCAAAATTTTTTACTAGAGCATTTTCTGTGCAATGTGCGCCGCGGTATGCAGTGGTAAAACCATGTGCTAACAAACATCATGTTTACTGATTACATTTAGATCACGCAGATGCTAAGTAACAACATCAACTGCACTCCCAGCATAAGGTTGTAATGAAAATAAGCTGCTATTAAAGTTGAGAATTGCTGGAGTAAAATGCATATTAACAGATGTGTTTTGTTGAGGTGACCACAAATCTGCCTTAGCTACTGGAAAGTCTTTGAGAAAAGCATGTGTTTGAAAGTGTGAAGTTATTGAGTTCATCTGCATTGTGCTTTGAAGATCAGCTAGTCATAAACGGCGTGATATTGAGTGTACTGATTACGAAGAAGAGAACCTTTGATGGACACATAAATAAGTGTCTTCGAACCGCCAACTCTTGATTGCTTGGTATTAATTGCTTGCGAATCTTGGATATTCAAAGGCCATGACTTCTTTCAGAGAGATGTTCAGCAAATATAGAAGGTAGGTGAGGTGGGTAATCAACCTATCAAAACGCATTTGATAATACCATTTCATTCCAGATCGTAGATGCAAACTGACATTCTTCCCCCGTTAAAACGAAACGTGGAAACAACCATAAAAAACCTCTCGAACAGAATAAATTGACCTCACATCTTGAGTAGCCCTGCCACTATGCGCACTGTGTGTTGAGACGGATTAAGCGGCAAATGAATGTAATAATTGCCATCAGTGCGTCAGATAAACGCCTTGAGTAGATTTTAGAACAAATCCGAGCAAAGAAACTTTTTACCGTGCTCTTACATAGCCCACTGATAACGAATAAACGCAAATGTTGTCTTCAGCACAATGAAGAACCCGACTAAGGAAATAACTGGAAAATTTGGTGAAAACTTACTGCCTGCCGTATACTTATCGTACCCTGAGAGACTGTGGAAGTTCTATATAACGAAAGATGTGCCTCAGCGAACTGGTCTTACGTTTCCTTGGATTCGAAATTTGTCCATTCTGAAGTGAGATATGGCAATGCGACGCGGATTTCCGGCGCACTCCAGTGATGTGCGCGCACTCCGCTGCTCTCCGCCACATTCCAGCGCACTCCGGCGCACTGCAGCGCCCTATAATGCACTCCGCTGGAAAACGGCGACTTTTTTGACGATTTGTGAGCATTAGTATTGTAAGCGGTATTCCTCAAGGAATCCTGGCAGGATGACATAGAATGACCTTGCTCAGCTGGACTTTGTGAATTTGAACCATTTTACTACCGCACGTTGAAGCAGCAGACCATGAGGGTGCTATCTGTTAAAGGTATTCTAATTCGTTAATCAACCTTCTTCCACCAGTTTTTTATGGATTTTAGGCATCCGTCATACTTGGTCTTCTTGATCCATTTGATCCGCTTGATCGTCAAAACGCGCGCACACAGGAGTTTGTCATCTGGCGCGGTAAAAAGGAAGTCTGTATGGTTACGCAACTTCGTGTACGCGACGCCAAATGACAATTTTGTGATGCGCGCTCTACCAAAGCGGATCAAGCGGATCAAGAGGATCAAGTACGGCAAGTGCCTTACAAACAAACTTAAGCTCAGGGGTACACGGCGGAGTTATGTTGAACGATTTGAGTTGCTGTTATTCATGGTTATCGCATCTCGTTGATCTTGTTGCTGCATGAGGTAAAAAGATTAAAGTACTTTTGTAGCTTTATGTGGACGTTCTTTGAACAACTAGCGCTTTTGCGCGCATTAGTCGCAGTTTTTATGTTCAGGCGCACTTGACAGGATGCAAAGAAAAATCCATCGCACCTACTCATGATAACCTTGAGCAGATTTAAGATGCACATACGAGAATTTTGCCCGAAGCAATACATATGCATATGCAATATGCATCATTTCACAAATTGCCACTGCGGTTTTGCAGTCATTTCTTATAAGTAACATCTTCAAAATTCGATTACTACACTTTTTCCATTCTCATGAAAAATTAGAGTGACAAAGATCGTTTGCTTTCCAACTTTTCGATATTTATGTTCACGTTTTACCACATCTCGAAATGCTTGTCTAGAATGGGTTTTTGGAAACAAGCGAAGATGTGAAGCACCTAGCCAGCGAAACTTGTCCAGCTACGTGTGGATACTGCTGCATCACTCGTGCTTTCAGCTGCTCCAATGCAAAATGTAAGTTGGTTTTTTCGCATATTTAAGATGTTGGAAAAATAGTATGGTTCCCGAAAGCTCGGAAATATTAGGTTAATTCATAATTAATGCAAGTTTTTCTCAACTCTTCTTCTAAGAGCTGGTATTTGATGTGTAGTCAATTCCCTCAAAAACTTTCTATGCTTTCTAAAAGAGCGTTTTTTCTAGTTTCTTATGCGGGTGTTCTCTTTCGTATATCTCCGTTCATTTCAAAGCTCTGAGCCTTTAAATAAAAGAGACTAAATCTCAAAATTTTTGCTTTTCACTCTTTTTGCCCTAAATCCATTAAGTATAGCCGATTGATTCTAAAAAAATATGCATAAGAATTAGAAAGCTTTGTGCTACAAGATGCTATTTGAACAAAATCCTCCAAGAATTCTGAGCTGAGAAAATCAATTGCGAACTTGAATGATCGTCTCGGCCCTTCCGTGCCATATAAAACTTCAAAGCAAAAGGCGATTGCAGGTCTTTTGCACTATCCAGCAAGGGTAGACCTAGTTCATTTGATGGTAGAATAGCGGTAGGGTTTTCTCGCTTCCCAGCGGAGAAAAATGAAATATCAAAAATGACCGATTTTCGAACCCGCCGAGATGCCAGAAAGAAGTGAGTACCTTCGACCATTTCGCAATATTTTCTTTCAAAAATTTTCCCTAAAATCCAGGCTTGGCACTACTGCTCAAGAGACCCTTGGCTACACGAGAGCGAAGTCTGCATTATCCTACTTCACTTCAACATATGCTATGCTTTCTCAAAGCAAAGGCTTCTGAAAAAAGTTGTTGGCAATCTTCAGGCCAGAAAATCTTTCTTATGATAGATACAGTCGTGCAAAAGTGTGTATTTTTATAGCCACTGATTTGATGATTCTAGTAGTTTTTATTGCTCCCAAGAATGTCTTTTCAAATAAGAATTATCTCGGTTGAAAGTTGAAGTATATAAAACATGCATTAATTTTGAAGTAACCTTATATTACAGAGACTAATTCAATTTTTCGCAGTTGTCGTAACCATATAAGCTTTTCAACGTTATAGCAATGGTTATCAGAATTACTTTGGTAAGGGTAGGCCTAGTTCATTTGATGGTAGAATAGCGGTAGGGTTTTCTCGCTTCCCAGCGGAGAAAATGAAATATCAAAAATGACCGATTTTTGAACCCGCCGAGATGCCAGAAAGAAGTGAGTACTTTCGACCATTTCGAACTTTTCAACGTTATAGCAATGGTTATCAGAATTACTTTCACTGAACTATAAGGTCGTTTCATGAGTTTAGAGAGTTTTTATACACCAACAAAAAACAAAATTCATCATAATTTGATCAATAAACTAATAGGTTGTCCCATAAGTCTTTTCATATTCGTATCTTCAAACTGATATTTCTTAAAAACCAAGGCATCTATAAGAGTGCAAATTTGTGGAAGTCTTCTTGAATGAGTAAGCTATGTAATCACATACTTGTGAGGAGCATAGGCTCATTACGGGCAAAGTTGAAAAATTGAGCGCATTATTTTTTTCGCGATTTCTAGCCATCGAAAAATGCAGCAAGTGTATATGTAAACTAGCGACCCTACGGTCGCTAGCAAGCGGGTTGGGGCAGACCCGTAGATAAATGCTGTTTCAAACCTATAATTTTCTCAAGCGACTTTCCAAACTTGAAGTTTTGAAGCGGTTCAGTCCTTTTCCGTTTCAGAATATGCAAACGCCTCTTTTAAGGCAAAATCTGTGCAAAAACGCTTTTTTAAGAAAAGAAAATGAGCAAATGTCAAAAATGTTTTTTTTTGTCCCTTGAGAACCTCATCTCAGGATACTAAAAAATTCGATCAGCTTTCTACTGGAATCTTTTGAAAAGCATGATCAGCTCTTTGCACTAATTTACGTCTTTGCCGCGAATCAGCGTTTTGTCAATGAAATAAAGACGAGAATGAAACAACGCAGATTTATCAAAGAACCTAATATTTTGAAGACCTAATTTTCCGCAGAAAAAATTTGATGTGGTTTTGTAAAAAGTCATAGATCGTGGATTATCCAAGTTAACGAGCAGTTTTTCTGTAGCTCAAAGTTTATGAGTTTGATAGTGAGATACTTATTTAGAAAAGCCTGACAAATTTTTGTGTTTATTAGACGTTCTATTAAGTTGTCCGAAAATTAATGTCCGTTTTGAATTTAGACCGCAGAAAGTCATAAACCTCTCATTTCTAGATGGGTTGCAAAGTAACATTCGACAGAGCAAAGCAAGCTCGACAAGACGGCATTTTCGATTTTGCACCAACTTCCATCCAGCTCGAGTTTGAAGTCAAGAACTGAAACGTTTCAACTGCCCAAAAAAGAAAAATCGTAACTCTGTCCAAACAAGCCTTAAAAAATCTGACTTGCTCACGTAAACACTATCCACATACGACATCTATGTGCGCCTTTGGTGTATTTTTTCTTGGTTAAAACCAAGAAAACAAAGTTTTTTATGCTTTTGCCAAAGTGATGCTGCGCTGTTCGCACATATGTAATTGCATACTACCTGACCTGTAGAAGTATAAGTATAAATCTTCACTCTCCACAAGCTCTATCCTCGAAAATTTCGATTACCTGGCTAGGGAAAGCTGTATCTGATATTTCTCGAGAAGTGAAGCTTGGAGAGAGCTGAATATTTAATGAATGAATTATGCGAATAGTGGATAAGTGAGCAAGTTGGAATTTTTGTAGGATTATGGACTAAGTTATAATTTCTCTCCATATTTTGAGCAGTCCAATCTTTTTACTTTTTGGCTTTGCAAAATCAGTATCGCCATCTTGTAGTGCTTGCTTTGCTCTGTCAAATGGTACTTTCAACCGATTTAGAAATGAAAAGTGTATGACTTATTGTGGATTAAATTCAAAACGGACATTAATTTCCGGACAACCTAATATCATGGGCAAAATCCAAAAAAATTCAAGCATAAAAAATCAGATTTCTCTCCAGTAACATCCCGGACTTCCAACTTTGTCAGACATATACTGTCCGCATCAAACATTCAAATAGGCAATTGCAATATTTTGTCCACGGCTAGGAACTGAGAAAGAACTGAGGAAATAAAAGTTGACATGTCCTGTTGAATACAATTCTGAGCCACTCTGAGAGGTAGTTCTATACTACAAACCTTTAGAGTACGACCATAGATTTTTAGCTTCTTTTTCCGAGAAATACTAAACTTAGCATAACAGGCCCACAAAAGGGCGATATTTTCGCTTTTGGTTCGTTTTGAATTTTCAGTTTTCAGCAACTGCAAAAATCTGGCAAGTGTGCATATAGATGTTTGACGCAGGGAGCATATGCGTGAACGAGTTGGAGGCCGGGAGCTTTCACGGAGATGTGATCTTTGAGCATTTGAATTTTTTGGATTTTGCTTTCAAAATACACGTAGAACACACTTTTGGCAGTCGTTCCAATGCAGTCTTGTAGAGGTTCCGCTCTATCGACTGATGTGCTTCCCACAAGCTTTCGTTGACACCGCCGCGATCGCATAAGGAACCTGCATTAATAGCCGGACAACCTAACACATTGCTATTGAATACAGAGCAATGGTGCCTGTATGAAATCCGTGACCAGCGTCAGGGACTCAACACCGCCCTTGTTTTCAGCACATTTAACAGCGAACTGTCTTACAGCTCCCCGTGTCTCTTGTGATATAGTTACTCCACTCATGTGTGTAGATCCGTTCTGGAAACCTATCCTTATTGAAGACTGCCCGAACATTTGTGGATTCTGCGAACTGGGTACGTTTCTTCGACATAATCTTCAGCTTGAGTAGAAATATGATAAAGAACTTGCTAAAATCACTTCAAATAATTCATAATATTTGTTGTGAAAAAATTTCAAAGATCTCGGTGACTCCCATCAAAGCTCCAAAATTATTTGTAAGAAAAATGTTTTCTAATCATAGATCCCTTATAAATCAAAAATTTTAAGCAGTTTAGTAGAAATTTTCATTTGAAATAAGCTCGATAGTTCCATAGCAGAAAATAAAATACAAGTACATGGCAGAACACGATCACTATTAAAAAGCCCTGACCTTTAATTGATGACTACTTCTGCTCTTCTCGGTGGCAGTCTCTATACAGCTGCAACGTAAAAGATAAAGCGGAAAAGGTTTACCAAATTTTTAAGAGCAGATTAGAGGATAACGAAATGTTGTCTGCATTACACTTACCATGATCATAGCAAAAAAAAGAACGTACTAGGCAGACAACGAACAAAAATAGATGTAAATTATTGTTAGACTTCCAGGATGCTTCGACAGGGCACATTTCTGTGCTCGGGATGTCTCAATTTGTTGGCACCCCGACATGATAGAATTTGCCAAGGTCAGCTTTTTTCAAGTTATTAGACATATTATGCGTTTAGTTTCATGATACGAACCCTTTTCACTCTGCTAGCTAAATAATCAAAGCAAAATTACTTTACTGCTGCTTTAGCTTCCTCGATGCTCTAGTCGTTCTTTACAAATGATCACCCAGAATGTTAAGCACCGCTCTATAAGGGTTGCAAGTGCGTTTTTCTTTAATTACTCCATGTGAGGGAATGCACAAGCTTCACTGCCTACAAAAATTGATATGCATAATTCTCAGCGTGGCTACCGCTAGAAGGGCCTGACCAAGTTGGCTTTTACAGATTTTCAAAACAAAGCCCCTTTGATTTTCTTTAGGAATTTTCTCTTGATAAGCTCTGAGAAAAATATGTTGTGAGCAGCACATGTTATGCATTAGCAACCCAAAATAGTTTCAACTTTGTAAGACAAAAAAATCTGGATGTATACAAATCGTATTTAAACGAAAGATGAGATCAAAAAGGTTTTTTAGGTAAGAATCATCTACAACACAAAAGACTTCTTTACGCGGAAATCATTTATAGCATGAGGGCATGACTGTGTTCTGATTGAAAAGAGTATCAATATCCATGAGTACATTATAATACTGAAGAATAAGTTTGAAAAGGGGATTGAATTGAGATTGTCCAGAATTCATCGGGAATCATCTTTTAGCAGCTGTCAAAGGCAGCCTTCCTTCCTTTCGTCATCAGCTGGATGATAGTGTTTCTGGGTATCACCTCAGAAAGCGGAGCTTAATTTGAGAATGAAAATTTAGAAATTGCAATTGAGCTAATTTGGAAATTAACCTTATATATCAAATAGTAGAGAAGAGAGTTAGCATGCTGATGAAATAGTCATAGGATCTTCTGGCGAAACGAATTGAATTTCATCATTTAGAAACATTACTGATGCGCAGAATAGCTAGTGACCGTGGCCTTCTGAGGTATGCTAAGTCCAAATCTGCCTTCCATTCTCGCTAAACGTTTGTGAAAGAGTTGGTGAAATTTGTGTCATATGCGATCAGGCGCCACTACTTCGAGTTTGTAGTGGTTAGTTCTATTCTCAGATTAACGCTGGTAGGGTAGACTCAAATCATAACGTGTTCCCGCTTTTGCCTTTTCTCCAAAGAGCTTGTGTTTATATGGTCAGCATCTTAGAGATTGAAAACACATTCACAGTAAAAGCAGACTTGCAAATATGCGAAAATTTGGAAAAAGAACCATTTGGAATCAACACCAGTGGCGTACCTCGGATTCCGACACGGGGGGGGGGGCGGCAAAAATTTTTTTAGATGAAGGTGCGTGGCGTTAGCCACGCCCCAAAAAAATTTTTTTATAAGGCTAATTTAAATTTTTAAAAATTTAAAAAATTATTTTAATTGTTCACAAAAATAAACAAGTCACTTGCACATTTTTATAACCCATGTAAGTAACTTTCAACCCCCCCCCCCACCCTCGGTACGCCACTGGTATACCTATCATAGTTCGAACACATCTGTTATAAAGATAATGCAAAACTGAAAACAAGATATAAATCCTGCACTTGCATTTTGTGAAACTATCTTAGTGACCGTTGACTACACCTGCGGAAGTGGCGCTCCCAAGTGGCGTTGTGCACAAAAGTCGTGAAGAAATGAAAGGCAAAACATCAGCCTCACGAGAAGAGCGCATTTATATACGTTTCAACTCAGAAGGCAACGGTCACTTGGTATTTTTCTTTGCAAATACTGAATATTCATGAGACTCAGCGTATCCGTTCTTCCCTATACTCGTCTGTAGATAACTTTCAACGACCGTTAAAAGATTGAGTGCCAAGGAAAAATGACCTAGGTGGTAGCTACAACTTTTACCACTTCGATAGTGGTTATATCTAAGTGAAATTTGATTGGTAGAAAGGTCTAGGCGCTATGAAACTATAAGGTTGTCCCATAAGTTTTTCCATTTTTGAGTTCTCGCTATTATAATTCACAAACTTCTTATTCTAAATAGACATCAGGAAAACATTCGATAGAGCAAAGCAAACTTTATAAGGTGGTGTTTATGCTTTTGCACAAGCTTTGGTCCATCTCGAGTTTTAGACCAAAATCTGAAAGATTCCGGATGCCCAGAAAACCGAAAATTTTTTTATATCTTCGTTTAAAAAAATCTACAGACCTCTAGTTCGCTCACGCATACACATTCCACATCAAATATTAATATGTGTTGCTGTATTTTTTATCAGCTAGGAATCAAGAAACCGAGAATTCCCAGGTTTTTACCAAAGTGATGCTGTGCTGCTCTTACACTGACAGTTGTATACTACAAGCCCTTAGAAGTACAATTACAAATTTTTAGCTCTCTATAAGCTCTGGTTTCCGAGAAATGTTGATCTAAGCGTGAGAAACCCGAGTGAAGAAAGCTATTAGGTTGGCCCAAAAGTTCTGTCGCACCATTTTCAAAAATTCATAACTTCTGGTTTTTAAATCGATTTGCGAGTTTTCATTTTTACATAAAAGAGCAATTCATTCTCTTCGTAAAGGTGCCGTAAAGGCTTTCTGATAAGCATACATTCCATAAGATAGAAGCGATAGAAGAAAATTAGTCAAAATTCGAATTTTATGTGTAGGGTCATAAAAAATCGGAGAATTGTACCAAAAATCGGAGAATTGTACCAAAAATCGAAGCAGTCAGCATTGCAGGTTCTTTTACCAGCTCTTTCTAATTGTGCAAAGTTTGCGCCCATTGAGCGTCTCTACGAAAAGTTATGATTTTCCTGAAAAATGCCAAAATAAATCAAATTCGCCCTTTTGTAATGATTGCTCGAAAATCGTAACTTTTCATAGAGACGCTCAATCGGCGCAAACTTTGCACTGTTAGAAAGAGCTGGTGAAAGAACCTACAATACCGACTGCTCCGGTTTTTGTTGCAAGTTTTCGATTTTTTATGACCCTACACGAAAAATTCAAATTTTGAGTGATTTTGGTTTTGATCTTCTATCTCCTTCATTTGTACACATTAACGAACAGTTAAGGTAGAGATGCAAAAAGCGTGAGTCTAGTAGCATGAGTCCTCTCTTAAGTAAAATTTTGAACATACAAATTCGTTAAGAATTTAAAGAGTTATGAATTTTTGAAAATGGTGCGACAGAACTTTCGGGCCAACCAAATGAATTTGATATTTCTTGTGAATCAGAACATATAGAGAGCCAAAAGTCTACGGTAGTACTTCTAATTGTAAGGGCTTCTAGTATACATTTGTTAATGTAAGAACAGCACAGCATCACTTTGGTGAAAACATGGAAAGCCTCGGTTTCTTGGATTCTAGCTGATAAAAAATACAGCAACACATATTAATATCTGATTTGGGATGTGTATGCGTGAGCGAGTTAGAGTTTTGTAGGACTTTTATCAATGAAGATATAAAAAACTTTCAGTTTTCTGGGCCTCCGAAACTTTTTAGATTTTGGTTTAGAACTCGAGGTGGACCACAGCTCGTGCAAAATCGCCACCTCATAGATGTCCTGATGTTTGTTCAGAGTGAGAAGTGTGTGTATTATTATAGCGAAAACTCAAAAATGAAAAGGCTTATAAGACAACTCAATATAATCTGTTTCAATCCTAATGAGACCAAAGCGCTGGCGGATTTGCGCTTTCGCAGCGCTAGGTTTTGCGCGGTGTATGCGCAATCAGAGAGAGAGAGAGAGCAAAGAGATAAAAGAGATAGCAGACAAGCAGGCGTAGGCGTGATGCAGAACAGAACATACAGAATCAATGTAGATTGTCTCTTTTTTTCCAGCTCTCCTGTGAATTCAGAAATAAAAAATCACATCTACCTCCAGCACCAGCTTATTTTATGCAATCATTTTGAGCTCCATTTCTGGAAGTAAGAGGAAAGCTAGAAAAAAAAGAGACGGTCTACGTTTACTGAAGAAGTCTTGCTCTGCAATTGGGTTAAACAACTGGGCATCTTCATTCACTCTTCGCATAAAAATTTCCTCACAAAAACACACATGTTTTTAGCTAAAATGCCATGTATCTCTAGGTAGAGGGGAGCTAGAGAAAAAAAACGGTCTATTTCGAATCCCTTTTTCGTGGGCTTTCTAATGGTATAAAGGTTGTTGGGTGAAAAAAAACTTGTGGCTTTTCAAAATTTTATTTTATTTTAACTATAAAGTCGACATCCATATGACTCTAGACGAGGAGGATCAATAATTTCAGCGGTCGGCCATAATCTTATACGTCTTCCGAAAACAATACTCCCGTTTAGGGGGCCAGCGAGCCCGCCTGCAAAGGCTAGCTGGCCATAACCCCGGGAGAAAAATTGAGGTTTTAGAGGTTTTCGAAAGGCAATAAGACATAAAAAAAGGGAAAAGTACAATAAAACCCTCGGGAGAGTGGAATGATCACCAAGAAAAAAAAAGACCGAAGTGACCACAGGAAGAACACTGTAGCAAAGAAAAAGGATAATTCGAGAGAGTTGCAATACAAAATGGTAGAGAATCACTGGAGGTGGATAGGTTTTTTTTCTTGAATCGGGAACAAAAAAAAATAAAAAAAACATCGAGCATAACGAAGAATTTCGCCTTCTGGGAGACCAAACCATCAGTTAGAATTCGTTGCGGAGAAAGGAACGTCGAAATCTCAAAAAATTTCCTGGAAAATAGTCAGAATAACCCCTGTGATTTCAGAAATTTTTGAACTTCTCTATTGAAAACGAATGTAGATCTCACGGTGATAGCTTTCATTGGGAGCACATTCAAATTGAGGTGGAAATTTTCAATATCAACTTGCTCCACCCCGCTGGCTTACTATAGGTTGCCGGAGCAAGACTTTTTTGGACTGGGAAAGCTTTGTGCACCAACACTTTGTATACCATTCGATAGCTAAGAACACGAGGAATCGACGTCTTTTTCTTTCTAGCTTTTCTGTGAAGCGAGATACGAGCAGTTTTATCTAGTTAGAAAATCAGCCGTTTTCTGGGTAATCATCTTTTCAAACCGAGAAGGTCTTTTTCGATTGCATGAGATTCGAAAGCATGAGAAACGAGCTATCCAACTGCTCTTTAATTTGTTATTATTCTCTCTTGTGAAAGGAGATATGTTACGCTAATTGTCTGCAAACATGCATCCATCACAAGCGAGTCCAGATTTTCTATTCTTGCTTAACTCTTTCTTGAGACAGTGTGTATTCATTGATACAAAGCTGATTATTCGAAGAATCAAACATCCTTTTATTTTTTGATTATGTTTCGTTAGCAACGCCACTCCGAGTGCACAGAGTGTCTCAAGAATGCGTTTTTTTTTTCAACAAAACGCTGTTAATTCGATAATCTCTTGTAGTTTTGATGTCGGAGAAGAAAAACAGCTACCATTTCCTTTCCAAACAAAAAATGTCATTGTAACAGCTGTTTGATTCTGTCGTTATGCCTTGATTCTAGTCGAAAAGGGTCAGCCAGATGCCGGCCCTAAAGTGAAGGATGCCAGAGAAATTTCTCCACCTATCGCATCTATGGTCGGGAGAGATTGTAGAAGGCCACGGAGATTCGAAATTTGAGAATTTAAGTTTAACATGGAATTGCATGTGAAAAGAAAACACTTAATGGATGATGTTCTCTTGACCAGCGGTAAAATTATCAAAGGAGTTTTTCTCTATAGCCTAACATTTACACTATACAAATGGGATTCTAGGTTGCTGGGATTCTTGTTTATATCTCACAAACTGAAGCAATTGTGCGTTCTGGCAATATTGGATTTATATTACCTTTCTTTGCCATAATCACTTCTTCACCGACAAACACTGCCATCAGTATGTCATGATGTTTTAGACTCGCGCTAATTTCGGGTCAGTTAGAGGCAACAACACCGTACGCATAATTGGAACATCTCTATAAACGAGAGAAAGTTGATGCTCCGAGTAGAATTATTTGCATGGGCCAATCTTCGCACATATATACTTTGGGGCGGAGCGAGTATTCGTTATTGATCGATATTGATATCATCAATGCTCTGATATTTTAAGCTCTTATGCGCGAGGCGGAACGGTAGGTAGGCGAATTATACTGATCAGATACAATAGTTGTTCCTAGAGTCATCGATTGCTTTATCGATTCAATCTAATTTGCGCAAACTTCAAGCTCTTAAGCTGGGAGTTGGCGTAGGAGAGAGGCAGTGGCGGTCTTAAAATTGCTCTGGACCCATAACTTCTAAAATTTAGAAAAAGAGGGTGTAACGCCACGCCCTTTCGGTCCGCCACTGGAGGGAGGAAAAGGCGAACATGCTTATCACGAATACTACATTAGTTTTTGAAATCATTGATTTCCTTTACCGATTTTACAGTTTTTCGCAGAAACTTAGCTATGAGCCTGAACTTGTTATGAGAGAGGGGTAAATGAACATTGGACAGGAGCTGGCAATACACTATAAGATCAGGGAAATGCTGTGATGATGTGTGGTGGGAAAACTGTTGAGCTCTTTCGTGCTATTTTGGCACGGACCGAGCGAAACCGTACATCTTAGCTAGTAGGATGTAATCTTCTAGTTAACATATTAATGACTGCCATCGAAGCCTGCTAGCTCGGATGCAAAAGCTGTTAGGAAAGCATTTATAGAGGTGGATAGATCGAATTCATAGATCAAAATCAAAGGAACTTCATAAAATTACAATGTTTACCATCTTCCGGTGATGCCCATTTTTTAGATAATGAGATGAGCCACAACGTGGTATATTTTCATCTTAACAGATGGTCACATAGGATGTCACTTCTTACCAGTAAAGGGTGAAACATATCTACGTTATCTGCCTGTTGCAGCTTGTAATTCAGCGCTAAATCTTCGCTGTTGAACCTGTACTTTAATGACGGTCTTGACTGCACTATGCTCCTTAATTTCTGTAATCATGCCGGTGCTCCAAGCTCCACAATAAAACCTCCTTGAAGTATTTTTTATAACTCATAGGACTGTAGTTTTGTTCAGTTGTAAAATTACCTCAGCCATTCTTGGACGATAAGCTATGTTTGAGTTACGAAGCAGTTACTTGTAGTCAATCTAACAGCGTACGGCAACCGATACTGATACCGAAAACTGAAATTAAAGATAAACGTATTTGCCTAAAGTCACAATCTTTAATTTCAGTTTTCGGTATCAGTATCGGTTGCCGTACGCTGTTAGATTGACTACAAGTAACTGCTTCGTAACTCAAACATAGCTTATCGTCCAAGAATGGCTGAGGTAATTTTACAACTGAACAAAACTACAGTCCTATGAGTTATAAAAAAATCAAGTGCGTCGTTTGGAGATATTATGTCATTCGAAAAACGACGTGCGTAATATTTGAGGAATTAAGATTCTTCGGAAAAAAACGGGAAAGTTGGTGAATTCAAATAAGAAAGTTTACGTAGCATAAGATAAAAGAAGATTCAGAGCCAAAACTCGAGAACGTAATGGTCCACCAGGTTTCTTCCTTCTTTTCCCCTATAAGCAGCTGTAATCATATTATCACATATTATCATTGTTAGGTTGACGCTTTTTGCGCAGCCTGCAGAGTTCTACTTTAGAGCTTGATGAAAAGTCTTTGAAAAGCCTTTAAAATAATATGGAAAGTTTTGCATTAACCGCGTTGTTTTCAAACCTAAATCCTGTCCGCCGAATGTTTAATTGTAGCTGTGGCGTCAGAAGCAAAAATGCAAATCTATGTTTGTTTAAGGATTTGAACATGAGGCCTGCAATGATTCATAATCGCGCTGCACTATTCCATCATTTTAGTACGACACTGCAATGCTTGCATATCAAGTGTTGTTTTAACATGGTCAAACTTGTGAATTCTTCGAAAAAGCGTTTCGCAGAAAAGGATTGCAGTATTAAGATCAGCATTTACTACTTCAGCAACACACAACCTCATCTCAAATGGCTACTTAGACTAAAAAGGCATTTCTTGCAAGTTCTTCTTCGTTTCTTCACCCATCTCGGTGATAAACCAGGATTTTGTTTTTAAATGCTATTATCGGTCACAAAAGAAAATTAAGCTAGAGCAACGTGACCAATAAGATAATAGACCGCTATCAAATTGCTTCTGAAGCCACACCCAAAGTAGTTCAAACATAGCAGATTCGGTGATCACTTTTACAAAAGTATCGCAAGATGGCAATCCTTACGTAAGAGTGATTACCCTTACATCGTAAGATTAAAAAAAAACTAAGTAGGGCGTCAAAGGATGAGAATCATCTTTGTTACACTGAGCTGACAAGAAGCTGGTCAGGAGTCGAAGTGGCCAAACCAAACAAGCTATATACCATTCGATACAGTATAAAACGCTAACTTCGAATCTGTCTTCCTTATCTGGTTCTCGCTTCTGTAGACGAAGCTACAAAGGGTTTTATTGTGAAAAATCATACATAAAAACAGCGAAATTGAGCACATTGGTGCACTTTTAGCTCAGCTTCTGGCTTCAAAAAATTTAAAGCAAGCTAGCTGCATGTTTTGGCCCAGCATTAAGGTGAGCGTGGCTCTGCACGGCTGAATTCTCAATTTCACGCGTAATTTCTTAGCAATAATCTTTAATGGCTTATAGCTTTGTCCAGAAAGGCGATAAGGGGGTAGGGAAGACAGATACAGAGTCAGCGTTTCATGCTGCATCCAATGGTTTGCAGCTTGTCTGAATTGGCCGCTTCGATTCCTGACCATTCCCTTGTGAGTTAAAAAATTCCTTTGAATTCGTGCTGCTGCTGTAACCTCTTTAACAAATCTTCGGATGGAATGCAGTGCTACCACTCTGGCTTGTGCTGCTGGATTTAACGATAAGATTAATTCCGTCTTTTCATTAGAAATCTCGATTTTTACTTGAATCCCCACTTTCATCTAATATCGAAAATCAAGTGCCTGGCGATTCAGTGGTTTCGGTGTATTTTATATCGATTATGCAACTTTTTCTCTTCAGGAAAACTGCAGGAGGACATGCAATTACTGCACATTTACCGGTAAGTCAACTAAATTAGATAAGGGTTTCTTAAGTAATGCAAATCTTACTTTTCAGGCGACTGTGGTCCTGATCATCCATAGTAAGCTTTTAAAATATTTATATCTTTAATCTTCAAAACAGGCAAATTTTAGCTGCGTACATTGGGTCAGGAACAACTTCTGCATCAACCCTTTCTACACGACGCAACAAAAAAGAACGTATTGTCCTCGAAGTTGTAAATTATGCTAAAATATTCTACTTGCAAGAAGGAAAAGGCGAGTATCAACACCATGTTGTTCTGCTGCTTAACAATATAAATTATTAAAATATAAGTTTGAATTTGACGAATGGCTTTCTGCAGTGTGCAGTTATGAACGGTTCTCAATAAACAGAAAGTCTCTAACGCATCCACATACATGTGTAACGCTGTCAATCTCGCATTTTCTCTTTTGAGTGCAATTACTTCGTACATTTTGAATGTTGAAATTTATGTGCACTATTCTCATTGTCGTCGTTAATCGTACAAAAAGAAACTTAACGACTCATTGTTCTCGCTCAAGCAGACGCATCAAGATAAATCATGAAAAAGCTCCACATTGACTATGTTAAGATTGAACGATTGCCAAAGTACTAGGTTGTTCCGAAAGTTCTGTCCGATATGCAAATTTTCTTATTAAAAATGTTATAACTCTTCAAAACCAATATTTCTGCACAAGTTGAATTTTTTGGATTAAGCGAGGTTGCATCTATCATAAGCACAGCATGCCATGTAAAGAAAGCAAGCGAGAAAGAAGAGAAAATTTGGAGAATTTTGCAAAGTTTCAATCGAAACCATCCACTTTGACGTACTAATGCTTCTATATAAGAATACGCGGACATATTTGGCTGTTACATTAAGTAGCTTGCACTTCCAAAATTCTTTCATTGCTAAAGAAAGTTCGAGCTAATTTTGCTGCACAGAGATTTTTAAGGGCAAATCGAAAAATCCATTATTTGAGCCCTTCTCTGCTCGCGCAAATAGGTCGACTTTCTAATATTTGATTTTTTCTTGCTGTCGCGAACGAAGAAATCTATTGTCGACTCCCCAACTTTGGCGAGGCGAAATCGTGATCTTCACCAAAAAACGATGGATCGGGTATGCTGCAGCACAGGGCAACCGCAACGCAAGGCACGCTAGCGCAGCTCCGCCTCGCCAAAGTTGTGAAGCCGCTCATAACTAGCCGATGGTCTCGGCTTGCTCTCGCTTTACTCTATCATATGCATCAGTGAGTGCACCACCATTCGCTATGCGTAAACTGTTGTTACTTTTTGAATAACTGAGTTTGTCTTGAAACATTGAAAAAGTAAGACGTTCGATTTGTTGGAGGTGAAGTGTATGTTAGCCTATTACATCCTAACTCATTATAAAATATTACATATTCGAATTTACGAATATCGGGGAATTCTGTTTGCAGAAACTTTTTCTTGAGCATGGATGCATTTTGAAAACTTGATTCGCCTGAACTTTTATCACTGAGAAGATATTTTGTCAAGCGTTAGTAAGCACTAGAAAAAGCAAGAAAAGTGCTTTCAGATGATGTTCATATATCTGCAACAAATGCAAAACTCCAAGAAAATAAAATAGCTGCGTTGAAACAAGGCAACTAAAAATTGGACAGAACTTTCAGAACAACTTAGAAGATGCAATTGTAACGTGATTCATGACTATAAGCGCAGAATCTGAGGCACGTTGACACGTAGGTGATTACTAGACTTGTGAACAAAGCTCAAACGCACAGAATAAAATGTAAATGCTACTGTAGGACGAAGGCGCAGAAGGAAATTTAATTAAGCAGGCGCGAACGCGATGTGCGCATGTCTTCACCTCTGTAATCCCTGCGTTTTGTGCTCTGCGGCTAATATAGCATATTCGCGCCCAAAAAAATGGCGCCTTCGTTACGCAGCAGCCTAACTGTGCCGCAATCCTTTTACCTTATATGTAAACAGTTATAAAAAGCAATCAAGCAATCAATCTTCCTCTACAAGCTCGCGTAACTGCGGATGCGAAGGTTATTGCACATCGACGAATGCAAATGCTCACAAAATCGCTGGGGGCAGGCGGGCACCGGAAAAATAGATTGCTGATTTCTCGCACCCCGCTCGCGGATTTTTTGGAAAGCAATAAGGACTTTTCGGACGACCGCTTGCTGAGTCAGCGGATTTTTGAGAGACCGCCTGTTGAATTTTTTTCGCTCTTATCTTTTGCAGATATATTGCTGAATCTCTGAGGAATCGAGATCTCAGCAAGCGGTCTTCCGAAAAGTCCTGATTGCTTCCCAAAAAATCCGCGAGCGGGGTGCGAGAGATCAGCAATCTATTTTTCCGGTGCCCGCCTGCCCCCGGCGATTGTCTGAGTGGGAGGTCATACAGAACAAAATCAAATTAACAAATAACGACATTTTGCAAACGCTTAGATTTGCGTTCAAATTTTGAGAAGTAAAGCGCTGACCAAAACTATAGGTCCACCACCCCAAAAAAGCCGTCTCACTCTACTAGCTTCCAATCATCCAAAAAAAATCAGATTTTCTAAAACTGGCTGGCCAGAATTATCGGCTCAGCTAAAGCTTCTTTTCACCAAAGTCTTTATTAGATTGCAGGGTTTTTTTGTAAATAGTAGTCAGAAGTGCAAGACAGTTGTCTTAATCGGGCTGCGCCATACAAATGAAAAAGCTTATTTGCTTCTATAGCTCAAAGGTACTTTCACATGTACTTCGCTCCTGGAATCTTGTTTGAACAGGAAGTGCTGAGTGAAGCTACAGGTCCACTTACTTTCCCAGCTGGTTTGGTTCGCCAATTTTTAGATACCATTCTGTAAAACGAGGTCCAACTTAGATTTACAGTGTAAAGCAAGACTCCGATCTCTTTTTGCTACTGTAGGATAACATAGTGGTAGGAACTTTGAAGAAGGTTTTGAGTCAAAAGAGTTGCATTTCGCCCCCGAAAAAAACCAAACAAACCAAAAACTTTTATACTAGGCTAATTAGAGTCGCTAATCACAGATATATAATTTGCAGGTCACGGTCAAGCTTCCTTCGTAAGTTATTTTAAGAAAAAGTAATAACTGCTCTTCCAATGTTCTTTTAAAATGTGATTACAGCTTTAAGGAGGCTCAGAATTTTCTAAAGTTGCATGATGAAATCAGTAAGCTCAAAAACCTTGCTACAAAAATTTTCAGAGTTTTTCAAAAAAAATTTAAATTAAACGGCCTAATTCACAATGGCGTTGTGTGCTAAAACATACTGTAATCCTACAGTAGCAAAAACACATCAAAATAAGCTCTATACTGTAAATCTAAGTTGAACCTCGCTTTACAAAATGGCACCTTAAGATCGACGAGAGACATCGAATCAAGCGAGTATTGACAATCGAACAGTGTGCACGTTTTTTGGGACACCTTGTATGTCTTACATCGCTATACAATACCGCTCACATTTTTTGAAAAATAGACGCGAATGTACATACATGTCGCTACATGTATGGACATTACCGTCGCGTGGCCATATCTCCCTTCAGAGTGGACGAATTCTGAATCTAAAGCCACCAAGCCACCACCGCCAAGCACTCACGGTGGAATTTCGACGAAATATGTGATCTTGACACTTTGGGCAAAATTCGTGAGTACGTGTTTTCGTAGGCTCGTAACTCAGCGATTTTTATAGACTGGAGCCTAATTGATGCACATTCGTCAGCACAATTCTAGTAATTTCCAATTAGAAGAGCAAACAGGCAAGTTTTTCGACAGATACGCGAGAAGTGCGGGCAAAGTTACTCACCTTCGTGATGCAGTTACATTCACCTCGCCGTATTTCTCCAAAAAGATCCTGTAATCCTCAAAGACCACAATTTTCGTAAAGAGCGTGTTCAAAAATCTCCATAAGCGAAGTTTCCCCACAATTCAAGAGCATCAATATTTTGACCAAAATCCATCGGCGAGCTTCCAGAGCGTAAAGCGAGATAAAATGAAATAACCCGAACATATCGGAAAACTTGCTCGTAAAGGTTATCCGACCTGCTGATTTCGAAACTCATCTGCTTAGCAAAATAGCTTCGTATCCTGGGGCTATGGCGAGTAAAATTTGGGACGACAAGATTTTTCCACAATTCACCAGCCGTTCTGTTTTCTTTGAAAAGAAATCTGCGGCTACCATTTAGCACATCATAATCAACAGAAAAAGTAATAGTAGTAGAAAGATCCTTGCTGTAATTACTAAGGTCAATGCTCGCTACTTTACACCTTCGCGAAAAGACGTCCGCAGAAAGATTTAAGAGTACTAGACTCGAAATATCGAGGACATGCTGTACATAAAAAGATTCGCTTTCATGGGCTGAGCAAGGCGCTGTTTTCGGATTCAAAATATACTTATTCCGAAGGAAGTTACGGCGAGTAGAATTTGAGAACGGGTGATTTTTCCAAAATTCACCAACGCTTCTATCTCCTTTGGAAAGAAGTCTGAGCCTATTTTTTTAGCGCACAATAATCTACAAGAACTGCATTACCGAATAATACTTAGTAAAGTCTTCTATGTTGGATAGGCGCTGCTTCACATATTCCGCGAAAGGGCCTCCGCAGAAGAATTTGAAAAAACTGGAAACGGAATATCGAAGACATCGTCCCCCACTCTTCCAATATATATGAAAATCCTTTGCGTCGAGCTAAATCGAATGGTGGCTTTAGATTCAGAATTCGTCCACTCTGAAGGGAGATATGGCCACGCGACGGTGATGTCCATACATGTAGCGACATGTATGTACATTCGCGTCTATTTTTCAAAAATGCGAGCGTTATTGTATGTTATTCCGCCTCGCTCCGTCTTAGCTAAAAACTCTGTCCTAGGGCGACGCTGATTAATTCGCATTTCCTATAATCTTAGCGGAGGTTTCAATTTTTTTGGAGTATCAAAGCAAAGAAGTGCGGAATTTTGAAGGATAATAGAGACGATGCTTTATTCAAAAGACAAAAACTTGTGGAAATTTTTCACTCACTATTTAGTAGTTCTCCCTCTCCCCCCCCCCCCTGTTCCCAGCATGTTTAGCCTGAAAAACCTATTTGAGCCCACACATGTTTTTTATGTAATTAAACCTCAGGATCTTTCTTTTCTTTTTGAGAGATGCTTTTGTGTAATTTTTTGCGTAAGTTGTCTAATTTAAAGCGCCTGCGTCTTCTAACAACAGCCTATCTCTCGCGGTATCACCAACCTATCAAAGGCGCG